ATTTTAAATAATTAAAAAAGTAGATTAGAGACATATTTATAGTAATTATGCAGGCAAATTTGTCTGCAAATCTCTACTAATTAAGGGATAGAGTATAACTTTGTAGAAAATTTTAATAGTTTAAATAATTATTACAAAGCCTAATAAAGTAAAAGCAAGACTGCCAAATTTTTTTAAAAAAAAAATTTACAATAAAGTACTTTATAAATTTAATATTACAAACAAGCTTCTATAAAAATATTCTTATTGCAATAATACTAGACATTATACTAAGATTTGCAAATTAAATCCTAAAAATAAGAATCAGATATAGATTAAGCTATAGCATTAGGTTTATTAATTCTATATACTTGTAAGGTTGTCAATTTATACTTTTAGCTATCAAAATATTGTAATATTATTATATAATTACTAATACTTATTGTAACCCAAGTTCTTAAAAGCATTTTCTAATCTTTAAAAAATTGTCAGAAATTATATTTTTTCAAGAAAATAACGTTTAGAAGATTATATCAAAACTTCATAGTTAGAGTTAGGGTGTTTTGCTAATTAAATATTCAATTTTAGTGCATTAGTAAAAAAAAGAGCAAAGTAAAGGTGTTAGCTATAGCATAGTGGACAGAGAGTTTTTAATATATTGTTCTGAAGTTATTATCTCTAACTAATTTATACAGACAAGATAAAAATAAAAAATATAAGTTTAGTTTATTTTTTTTCTAGTATTTTTATAATTACAGTTGAAGAATATTTATAAAAGTACTATAATAATTTGTTAGTTTTGTGATCTTAATCTTGTTGTTCTGTAAAGTAGAACTAATACAATATTAGAAAGATAATAATTATTGTACTACTTGTTGCTACAATATTAACTATTAAGTCTGAGAGTACAAGTTGTATGCGTGTAGTTGGTTTATAAATATACTTTGCAAAACAACTGTTTAGGTGTAAGCAAAGCAAGCACTATATAGCAACTATATAATAACTTGATAGTATAGTTTAGCTTATATTTGCTTTTATTATATATTGTTATAAAATTGAATTAGTGTGCAAAAGAGTATTTAATAAAAGTTTTTTAGTGTTGGTTTTTTTTTATTAACTTAATGTTAAATAATTTATATATATATATGTAAATTATATAATTGGCAATATCACTATTGGTGATAAATAGCAAAATTCAAAAAAAAAAACAAAAAAAATATTAAAAAAAAACAAACTATCAAAAGATCAATTAAGAAACTACTAAAAAATTTATAAAAAACAACAAAAAACTTCAAAAAAACAATAAAAAAGTATCAAAAAACTACCAAAAAGCAATAAAAGAAGTAATACTTAGCAAAATTAAACAAAAACTTGATTATCGAGTTTTTGAATCTATCAATTTACAATATTGTACATTAAATACAAATTTTTATTTTAGTATATATATAAATCTAGACTTTATAGTAACTAATATAAAGGTTAAAGTCAGATTAGAGTAAATATAGATTTTATAATTGAAGCACAATACTATAAATTTATAGATTCAAAAACTCGATAATTGAGTTTTTGTTTGATTTTGCCAAGCACTAAAAAGAAGCACCAAATAACAATACAAAAAAATAAAAAAATAAAAAAACTAATTTTAGTAGTTAATTAGTCTATTATATAATTAGTGAAATTTTTTAAATTAGTAATATTAGGGTTTTAATATTTTATATAAGAAAATTTCTTAGATTACACTATATGTACCTTACACATATTTATTATTTATCATACTATGTGTAGATTACACATATTATTATTATTTATTATACTACGTGTATATTACACATACTGTATTATTATTTATTTATGCAGACTGTATATATTCGAATAGTGCTATCAAATATAAGATCACTTTGGAACAATTAGAACTCCGCTTAAAGATATGAGTACATTGTTGTGATTCATGCATTCGACTAATATATGATGTAATCCTGAGATATAAATACAAAATTGATAACAATAATGATTTGACTTCTTTTGCTTTTAATCTAAATTTGTATTTGACAAAAATCTTTCGTGTATTCAATCGTCAAAATAAATTAGTAACTAATACAGTATCACAAACGTACCTTATGGATCCAGAAAATGTTAGCAAAAGTATAATTAATATGTTTCTTAAAAGCAATACACAAGAAATTAAGGCTCACTAAAATGCTATACTTTTACAGTATTCAGCTTTATTTGAGCTGCCACTAGACCTTTTATTTCCAGTTTCATCAAGTTCGCATACATTTACAGCACCTCCAGGGCTAGCCAATATCAACTTTTCATTACCACTTGTAAGATATTTATGCCGATTTTTTTTATACCCAAATTAGGATGCATATCATCATTAACGTTAACATTAAATCGTTATACGTACATACTTTCTAGAATCCAATTTTATCAGGATTGCCACTAAATCTTATGTCTCCGGGACCATCCCAGAATCCTATGTCTACAATATTTCCAGAACCAATCGATATAAATTCTCCTGTTGATTTTTTATCACCTTTGGTAAAAGCGGCTTTAGTGCTTTTGTAGTTTTTTACACTAATGCTAATACTAATGTAATTTTGTTTAATTTTTATTAAAAAGGTCAATTTAAGTAGCAATCATCAGCCTTCTGACTTAAACGATGATGGAATTATTACTGACACAGATTCAGAAGAAAGTGAGAATTCAATAATTACTTCAGAGTTAAATAGTAACCTTACCTTTGGGAACTGGGAGGAATTTAAAGCATGGTTAGATTGTTATTCAAAGAAACAGAGATTTAGTTATAGGATTAGAACCAGTGAAAAGGATGGAAATATAATGTGACGTGCTACTTTAGAGTGTTCAAGATCAGGTGTTCCCAATCCACAAGTGACTTGTGACCCCACTAAACGACGAAATGCAGTCTCACAACATACAAATTGTTAATAGAGACTTAATATTTATAGCTCTAAAAAAAACAATAATACTTTAAAGATTAATTCATTCGTGGATAAGCATAATCACGTGCTTAGCAAAACTATTCACAAAACAGCACCAAGATTTAGAAAATTAACACCAGAAATGTTATCTGACATAGAGAAATATGTTATACAAGGCAGGATAGATTCTGGATTTATTTACCCTTTACTCAAATATGATTATCCAAATAAACCCATCTTTAAAAAAGATCTTTACAATGCAGTATATCAGTTTAGAGCTGAAAATAATCCAGGTGACTCGGATGCATCCCAAATGCTCTAAATGTTATTGAGTTGGAAAGAATCTGACCCTTTATGGGTGGTTAAAGTGCACTTGGATCCTTTTTCTAGAAGATTGAACAGGCTATTATGGATGTCTCCATCACAAAAGTCACTATATGAAAATTTCCATGATGTTGTAATTATTGATACTACGTCCAACACAAATCATTTTCAGATGATACTCTTTGTAATTCTAGTCATTAATAATTATTTCAAATCAAGAATCGTTGCTACTGCTATTATAGATGATGAGACTCTTGATACTTTCTGATAGATTTTTAATACTTTATTTGAAGAAACAAATATAAATCCGAAGGTCATATTTACTGATTCTGATCCATCTATGATTATCGTAATTAAGGAAATATATCCTAATACCAACCATTTGTTATGTATTTTCCATATTGATATGAATATCCGAAAAAAGCTTAA